AAATGCCAGCTTTCTGGGCCATGCTGCCAGCGCCACCTCTGGCTCTTTCAGGGGGGCAGAGCATTTAAATGGTGTTTGTGAGCAATGTGCTACAACTTGTTTAATGACAACATAGACCTGCTGTGTGCCTAAAACTGGGACAATGTACATGGCTCTCAGAGGCAGAGAACAGCTCCTCCATGCAGAACTGGGCAGGGCAAGCAGGTAGTGCCATATATACCCTAGTAATGCCACTGTTTAGATTTTTAATAAGTGTTTAGCATTTTGAGAAGCAATCCTGGTCAGAAAATAATTATAAATACACAATAAAGACAAATTCAGATGCAAAAGACCTCTAAATGGGTCACAATATTGGATAAATGTACATAGGCTTGGGAGAGAGAATAAAAAGAATATAGACAGTTATAAAAGTCTTTAAAGAGACAGAGTATACACAGTCATAGATTAAAAGGAGTAAAGAAAGAAAAACCCAATTAAAGATAGCATATACACCGAGAGTCTGGATTATGTATATTATTGTGTTTTCTTTGAATTTTTTGACTACAGAGAGACACTGATAGTGGGGACTGCTAAGCCAAGCCAACATATATATTTTAAAGGTATCTTTTTTTCCTTTTTTTAATTGAGCTCTACATTTTTCTCTGCTCCCCTCCCTGCTTCTCCCCTTTCTCCTTCAACCCTTCCCCAAGGTCCCCATGCTCCCAATTCATTCAGGAAATCTTATTTTTTTTTTCTACTTTCTACTTCCCATGTAGATTATATCTATTAAGTCTCTCTTAGTGTCCCCATTGTTGTCTAAGTTATCTGGGATTGTGGTTTGTAGGCTGGCTTTCTTTGCTTTATGTTTAAAAACCACCTATGAGTGAGTACATGTGATAATTGTCTTTCTGTGTCTGGGTTACCTCACTCAAAATAATGTTTTCTAGCTCCATCCATTTTCCTGCAAAATTCAAGATGTCATTATTTTTTTCTACTGTGTAGTATTCTATTATGTAAATGTACCACATTTTCCTTACCCATTCTTCAGTTGAGGGGCATTTAGGTTGTTTCCAGGTTCTGGCTATGACAAAGCTACTATGAACATAGTTGAGCACATGTCCCTGTGGCACGATTGAGCATCCTTAAAGGTATCTTGAATTCAAAATATGGGTCTAAGGGTATGTTGCTTTGGAAAAGAGGTTCATCTTCTGTTTCCATAGAGGATGAGAACCTCTGGAATAATTCCAGACTAATGTGCTTTGATGTACCAAGACCCCCTAAGAGGTCACTGTGAACACCCCCAAAAACTACTTCGCCCAACAAAGAGCAGGAAGCAGTTTGGAGAAGAACTATGATCATATTTCCAAATATTATTTATAAATGCTGGCTTACATTTAAAGAGGGATATGATATAGAGATTTGCATTGGTATGGATTTTAGTTTATTGATACAAATTTAAGTCAATTTTGTTATATATGTATATGTATATTTCTGCTCTTAATTAAGGTATTGTGTTTGTGAAGCTCTATATATACATTACATTTTTAAATGAGCTTCTGTGCCATGTGTTCTTCATACATTTTCCATGTTTAAATGACTTTCCATGGATGGTGTTTATCATCCCCATTCTACAAATGAAGAAACACAAATTCAAAGAGGTGAAGTACTTACCATAGTCCTGATGACTAAAGTCTTGGAATCACAAAGAAACTATGACAGGTGACACCAAACTGTCCTCATGATTCCAAACTCCCTGTGCTCAACCCTTGTTCACCTAAATAGGGATGATCTGCGAGACTGGCTGAATATTGTGGGAAGGGAAGGCCTGGATTCCAAGGCCAGATCATAGTCATTATGGCTTCTACCTTGCTTCTCTAGGTAACTTTTAAGGAAAGTCACCATTCCACAAAAACACTGTCACACCATGAGAACCTTAAAGTAGCCTTATGGAAGGTTCTACATGACAACATCCAGGACTAACTTACCAGATGTCATGCGAAAGCCACAGTGAAGGCAGGTCTCCAGACCTATCCACGCCCTCAGCTGACTGCAGCCTCCTATAAGCCCCTGAATCATGAACAGCCAGGCCACGGATCACAGTCTACCTGGTAGCTTGTCACATAGCAACACAGAACTGACATGGCAACCTTGGGATACTTTATAATACTCCCTTTCTTTAGTACACAAAAGGAAGCCAGTGACAGCAGGTATATCGGGGGCAGCTGAGAAAAGCCAATGCAAACCACACCCAAGGTGCCTGTCCTGTCCTAGAGCCCACATTCACCCCATACCACCCAATAACAGGCCACATCAGCACCTATCCAGCTATAAGCCTGCACACAGGCAATGGGCCACTGCGTATCAGATGTAAAGAACAGGGACACAGAGGCAAGGGTCTGAGTGGGCAGGGCCCTGAGTACCACTTACCACAGGGACCTGCCTTCCTAGCAGCATCAGAAACTCAAGGACCCACATGCTGGGTCCTTCATGGGGCTTCAGGTCTCTCCTATCTCCTCACTTCTGCCAAAGTCCCAATGACACACCTATGTGCATGAAAATCTCACTGCTTGGGGCATTGTTCTAGAAGCAGTGATGGATAGCCTCCCAAAATGTCTGAATCTCTCCATACATGCGGCTAGACAGAAGCCCTGCCGAGTGCTCTTTTATTAAGTCATGTTTTCCAACTCCACATTAACAAGTATGGTGTCAGCAGACAGCATGATAATAATTCCCTAATGTTGGGAGGAGGACATGGAGGAAGCAGAGATCTAGGGCAACTAGCAAAATGGCCAACAAGGAGAAACAGCTGATGCCCTGCTCCCAGGGAAACCCCAGAAGTGCAGTCACCATCTCAAACCCCGTCAGCACTGGGGAAGATCAGGAACTATTTCCTGGACCCATGAGCCCTGATACCAAATCTACATCCACAACAGCAAAGCGGAAGCCTTGTGCTCTGCAATAGTAGGCACTCAGATGGGTGGGAGTCAAGTCCTGGCTACACTGTCCATGGCCACAATTATTTGTATTATCTATATGGAGCTGAATTCAGAGTAATCTTAGTCAAACACCAGATGAGAGCAAACCTTCAAATGCCTTGGTATTTCACAAAGCCCTCGACCATTGGTTTTAAAATCTGCTGCTGAGGTTCTCATCTCTGATTCTAGAGGACTCCATCTGAGCACATCAGTAATTTTCCAGCCCAGGCACCTGGGCATTGCTATTCGTTGTCATTCTGTGCACAGTCAGGCCTAAAAGGCCCTGTCCACAGGGCTGCTGACCTGCTAGGAGCCCAGCTCACTCAGTGCCCATCCATCTCTCACACACTGGCCTCTGCTTCCTGGGAAGTCTAACCTACATCGCACAACTGCCTTATTCATGCCCTTCCCACTCTGGGGTGGTCCTACCACCACACAGCAGGCATCCCCAGAAGGAAAAATTCCAGTTTTCAGTCTGCTAGCAGTCACAGCAGCAGCAAAGAAGCAGGGACAGCTCCTAGCTCCCGTCAACCATCGTTGAACAATGAGAAATGGGCTTTTAGGGAACTTTTAGGGAACTTGTGATAGGTACTAGCAGCTCAAGCCTGGGGTTGTTCCAGGTAATTCACAGCAGCTGGCTGTGGCTCTTCACTCTGGTGAACTTGGTTGACTTTTGTGAAATAGTATCAACTGGGTTCCAGGCCCAACCCAGAGATGCAGATTCAGGTCCAGGGGTGATAGTCTGGGAACCCCATACTTTGACAGCTGCCCTAGCGATTCTGAGACTTACAGCTCATATATATATATATATGAGGGGGTTTTTTTGAGACTGAATTTCTCTGTAACTTTGGAGCATCTCCTGGAACTAGCTCTTGTAGACCAGGCTGGTCTCAAACTTGCAGAGATCCACCTGCCTCAGCCTCCTGAGTACTGGGATTAAAGGCGTGCGCCACCAATGCCTGGCCCCAAAATAAAATTTTAAAGGAAAGCGCATGCACTTTAATGTCTGGGAACAACCTTAAGATGTTACTGTTACTTCACAGTCAGCCAGCAGTATGGATTTTTCCTGTGTTGTGAGAGGGCTGGGCTTGAGATTGGCCTAGACAGTTTGGCTCCATTAAGACATGCAATCACTGTAAAGCTAGGTATACTCTAATCCACACCATAGCTGCAGCAGGCCCTTCTGAGCTGTCTCCCTGCCTTCACTTCACCCCCAAGGCATATCAGCACTGTCTGCTCATCTTGACCACAGTCCCTTGGCCACATGACTAAACTGAGCTAGACAGACAACTGTGTTGTCAGTCTAGAAAGCTGTAAATGCAGAGTTTTGGGGGAGGTCAAATTGGGCCACATGTGCAGATGGAGAGGAAGGAAGAGAGGAAGCAGAAGCTAACGGCGGGGACACCCACACCCAGTAGCTCTCTCTCTATAGGGACCCTGGAGGAAAGTTCTCATCGCCCTTCACCTTTCTGAAGTGAACTTGTGTTACTTGCTAGCAAAAAAAAAAAAAAAAAAAAAAAAAAAAAAAAAAAAAAAAAAAAATAGTGGAAAAAAAAAAAAAAAAAAAAAAAAAAAAAAAAAAAAAAAAAAAAAAAGGAACTCTGGTTAAAATAATTAAAACCTTACCAACTAGAGGATGTCACCAGAAATTTTCATTTCTCAAGACCCACACTGACTCTTTCCCCCCTCTATCACTTCTAAAAATGCACATATGCTTTTACTATAAACATGCAAGGGTTTGCTGTGGCAACTAGTTTCAGGGCAGAAGCAAGGCAGCCACCAGGATGTGGGATCAGCATGAAGAAAGCTCTGTACCCAACAGCAAGTGCTCAGCCAGGACAGCCTGGGACAAGAAGGACAAGTAAATGTGCTGCCCAGTAGAAACTGGGCACCAAACCGTCTGCCCTGCCAGACTGGGCCAGATAGTGGCTTTCTTAGCAGAACCCAAATTTCTGACTCAAAATGGACACATGTCACTCTGTGAGGCTCCAGAGGACCACTCCTCCCGAGCCCTAGCCATCTGGAGAGCATGATGATGGTACAAACCTCCGGCTGGATGGCTTTGAACACAGGGATGTCCATCAATGTGATCTGACTCTACAAGAGAACAGAGATACTGGGTTAGAGGCTTTTAACTGATACTGAAAGACAGAAGGTTTAGTATTCATAGGGTACCATGTGATGGCTGGACACACGTGTATGAGATGTCACATTTAAATCAGGTTAGATATATCTGTCTTCTCAGTTATAACTTCTTCATGATAAAACATTCAAACTCCTCCATGCTTTCTGCAGTACACAGCTCATCCTCTGTATTAACACAGGCTGGAACTTCTTTCTCCACTGTTCGATCCCCCTCTTGACCCTCCCACCCTCCCAGACGCCCACACCCAGGCTCAGGAAACCACCTTTCCTCACTAGCTTCCATGAGACTAACCTTTCTATACGCCACATACGAGGGAGACCATGTGGCACATGTCTTTCTAAAGCCTGGCTTGCTTCACTTACCAGAATATTCTGTGGTTCCAACAGTGTTGACTCAACTGACATGGTTTCATTCTTTTTTATGACTGAATAATAACCCACTGCCTGTATGCGCCCCATTTTCCTTATCCATACATAGGTTTACCAACGTAGTTTTGTTTCCACGTCTTGGCTATTATGTCAGGCCTACAATAAGCACAAGTATGGACTTCACTTGTTCTGGAGATACACCCTTTGCTGGGCTGCTGGTTCATACACTGGGAGCATCTTCACTGTTTTCTGTGACAGCAGCAGAACACACAGGTGTCCTTTTCTCTGCATCTTACTATCTCTCAATTTTTTGGTAACAGTCATTTTCCCTGGAGTTAATGAGAGCGAGTGTATTTGAGTTGCCTTTTCCCAATGACTTCTGGGCATCCTTCCATGTCCCCCAGCCACCTACATGCCTTCTCTGGGAAAGCCCACCAGGTCCGTTATGAATCTCACTATGGGCTTTTTGCTGGAGAGCTTTCTGAAGTTCCTTATACATTCTGAATCTTAATCCTCATGGAGAATGCATAACTTGCAAATATTCTCTCCCACCCTTGTGGGCCATTCCTTCATCCTGTTGAATGCTTCCTTTGCTGGGCAGTCTTTGTATCTGACAGAACCCCATTAGTCCATTACTAACTTCATGTCTTGCCCTTTCCAACCCCTTAGAGCAGTGGTTCACAACCTCCCTAATGCTACAGCCCTTTAATACAGTTCCTCATGTTGTGATGATCCCCCACAACATTATTTCATTGCTACTTCATAACTGTAATTTTGCTATTGCTACAAATTGTAATGTAAATATGTGATATGCAGGATATTTGATATATGGCCCCTATGGGGATCATGACCCACAGGTTGAGAACCACTGACCTAAAAGCATCCCCTGTCATGACTCCACCCCTGCCATTTCTTCTACTACTTTCAGTTTCAAGTCATCTTGAGTTGGATTTTACTGATGGTGAGAGAGAGAAATAAATTTCTGTGCTATCTTCCCTACCACATCCCTCCTCATAGATCCAAGCCCACGCCCTTCTCTTTGGAAACAAAATGAACTTCCAACCTCAGAGTTGATCACAGTCATTTGGAAGATGAGGCATGGAGTAATAAAAACATTTTAGTTTGGAAATGCTTACGCTACTTGGGTTTTTGTTTCAAGTATGACTTACCTAATTTAAAAAGGTTGTAGATACACTATTTTAAAACTTGTATGATAGAGACAGCATCTATTACTCAGATTTAAATAAATAGTAGCACATATAGACTTCTCTTCTGAAGCCTCTACCTCCCCAAAATTATATGGTAGAGAGCTATTCAAGATGTGACCACAGACCCCATACGAAGTCTTTTTTTTTTTAAGACTTATTTATTAATTATGTATACAGGGTTCTTCCTGCATGTATCCCTTCAGGCCAGAAGAGGTAACTGGATCTCATTACAGATGGTTGTGAGCCACCATGTGGTTGCTGGGAATTGAACTCAAAACCTCTGGAAGAACAGGCAGTGCTCTTAACCTCTGAGCCATCTCTCCAGCCCCCGGGGATATGAGGTCTTGAACTGCGTATTATCCCACGAGCCATCAGTGAGATCAGAGCAGAAGTTAAGCGGTAGCTCTGAGAACCTGTAGGAGTATGGCATGGCCACAACAGTCCTACTGCCCTCTCTTCTGTGCTACTCTTGCAGAGTGGAAAGAAAAGAAGAGGGTCTTCCCAGAGCAGCAGACAGACTGATTTCACTAACGGGGCCAAAAGTTCATCTAGGGACCAGGGAAAGGCGTCACTCATAACAATTCTTCGGGCCAAGGTAACTTCATTACTTACCCGCCTTTGTGTGTCACATTGGAACCAGGTGTCAATTACCACCTGCCTCTGAGACAGGCCGGGAAGAGGAGCCATGGGCTTTTGCAACACATGGTCTATTGAACCTGTCCAGTGAGACACATTGAGATTTTGCAGTCCACAGGGCAGAAATTCAAAATAAGAGATAAAAAAAAATGTCCAATGTGACAAATACATCATTGTGTGTGTGCACATATCAAGGGGGTAATGAAAAATGCACTAGTGCAACCACAGAGACGGGGCTCTTGAACGACCGCATGAATGCAGTCCGGAGCCTGGACAGAAGGCCCACTGCCTTGGCTGAACATTCACATGCCAAAGTTGTTCTAGAGAAGAGGAAACAGAAGCTGTTACACTGTGTTGCCAAAAAGCCTTATATCAAGACAACACTGGAGGAAAAAAATGGCAACACATAAAGTATGTTACCTGTGACCATAGCTGGGGTACAGGCACAGAACTGTGGCCAGCTCCTGGCACAATTCCAAGGTGCTCTGCAGTCACTGGGCTGCTAAAAAGCACAGAACACAGACCAAAGCATAGCATCCTCAGAGTCTAATGGGAGGGAAATGGGTAGAGATTTGTACAGTGGGCATGCTGTCCCTCCCAGGGCACAGGGGGAATGTTGACACTAATGGAAGTTTGGCATCAAGAATAATGAGGCACCTGATGAAAATCCTAGCTCTTGTGCTTTCCCCTTGGTGGCAACGGGTGTGTGACATCTGCACACCCTGTCCTTGTGATCCGGGTGGAATGGCTCGTAATAGTGCTGCAAGCCCACAGAACACAAAGCTCCATCCTGGGCAGTGCAAACAATTGCGACCTTTGCTGCTATATATACCCCGAGCTTGTTAGCCACATGCTGCCACACCTGGATCAACTGTGGGTCAACACAAGAGCAGAAAGGCCTTTGAAAACAAGAGATTTGAGCCAACAGCTCAGGGCATCTGGGTTCCATCTCCCATGTGGTTCCAGTTCATGTCCCTCCTGTCTGCTGGGAACTAGGAGTGTGTGGAATGACACTTAAGAGAAGAACCCAAATCCAGCTGGTGAAACAATAAGATATTCTCCCCTTTTCACCCCAGAATTTCCAGGGGAGCTACTGCAATGATGACATATCAGCCAAGCTTCTTTGAATGGTCTCAGTTTCACATCCTGATCCCAGCTCAGGCTGTCAGTCAGAAACAGTGTGCAGATGTTCTCAAGACACATCAGTGGCTGTAGAGACAGGCTGATGTGGTAAAGTGCTTGCTGTTCAACCTGAGCCTGGATCCCCAGCATGCTCAGAAAATACTGGGTACGACAGTGTGTGTCTTTAATCCTAGTGCTGGGAGGCAGGGACAGTGAGATCCCTGGAGCTCCCTGGCCAGCAGTCCAGTCTAGTTGTGAGTCCCAGGCCAGAGAGAAATCCTGTCTCAAAATGTAAGATGGAGAGTAACAGGGAAGGACACCCAGCATTGACTTCCGGCCTCCATATATACCCATGTACACCACGTGCACATGTACACACAAAGGGGGAGAAACCAAACACCAAGAGCGCTGGTCCCAGGATGGGGGCTGTCTGTTCCTAACATAAAGAAGGTTTTTCAGAGACCCACATCCATTTTTGCCTCTCAGCTTTCACATCCTGATCAGAAAGGATGCAAAGTCTCTAGCAAGACAAATATCCAAGTAAAACTCAGCAGGTCACCAATGTCACAATACTTTACTACCACACCAAACTTGCTCAAAGGCTGCTGCTGAGCAACCCATCCCCCAGGGTATGAAAGGCTCCAGAGCTGTCAGTTACTCTCAAAGGGCAGGGTGGAAGGGTAGGGGTGGCACATGCTAGGGGCCTACAAGGTGAGGTCAGGTCCCATTCCCCACTTGCTTCCAGGTACTAATTCACCCAGGAGAGCTTGAGCAGGGAGCACTAGTCAAACCTCAGAGTCACTAGGCCATACCTGCTATGCTTTTCTCCATCCCCAAAAACCTGGGCAAATCAACACTGAGCCAGGCTTTGAAGAGAAACGGTGAGTCACTACGTACTGTACGACATCTCTGCAGGGATGAGTGCTACAGCCTGGAAGGGGCCTATCAGAGCACTGTACATCTCCCACACCCCCAAGAAAAAATGGGTATTATGTCGTTAAGAGAAGCTAGTTGGTTAGCTAAAGGGAAAAATGTTTTTGTTTATGATGAATATACATATTCCTAGCAGTGCCACACCAAATCCTTACATCCTAGCCAGAGCTTTCATGTAAGGCTTTCCCAAGAAAGCAAACAGTTGTTGGTTAATGTTGTATTGTGTTATATAAGGTACCTGAAAGTCTGCCATTAGATCCCTTTGCCGATGAGCAGCCGCAAGCACTCACAGGACACTAAGCCGTCAGTTCCAAAGGTACTCCTGAGTTAAGAGCTCACAAGGGAGGCCACAAGCCATGGGAGACATGACCAGAACCACAACCAGAAACATGAGATCCATGGCCAGAGGCACAAAAGCTACAATGAGAGTACTCCTAAAGTCACAACGAAACTATGGGAGACATAGGAAGCCACATACCACAGCCACAAAAGTCCCCAACTACAGCCACTGAAGCCATGACCAGGACACAGGAATAATAAACACAGCCATGGGAGGTCATGACCACAGTCAAGACAAGAGCCATGGAAGCTATAACCCAGAGCCACAGGAACCCATGACCAGAATGATGAGAGCTATGTATGACCATAGCCACAGGAGCCACAACCAGTGCCACAAGAGTCATGACCAGAGATAAGGGAGGCCATGACAAGAACCACAGAAGGCCACAATGAGCCACAGAGAGCTACAAACAGGCCATGACCAATATTTGAGAAACCTCGAATTCTCAGAATGGGAATACAGACTCTACAAGGAGAAGCTGCTGGCTGGCAGTCAGAGCCATATAAATAATAATGATCCACCTGTAGTTGGCATAGAGCCTCTGTACCATGGGGACCAGGAAGAAGAAGGAGGAAGAGGGGGAAGGGGAAGAAGAAGGGAGGTGAGAAAGAGAGAATGTCAGGGACTAGTCATAGCTCTGCAGAGAAACACGGCCCTGGAACAGTGCTCAGAGTGAGGTTTGAAGTCACCCCAGAGCCAATATTCCCCTCCCTAACAAAACCCCAAGAGAGGAAAACATCATGGCAAATGACAGGCTAGCTCTGCCCCACCGAAGAATCATCCAGAAACCAAAGACAGGCTGAAGAAAAATAATACTGCCTATTGGCTCTAGGAGATGGCACATAAACATGCAGAAAGTGGAAGCAAACAAAAAGGAGAAAAACGGAATCACAAATGCATGGTGTCTGCAGCCGAAAGTGTAGCAAGCAACATGGCTGGCTTTGTGATATATGTCAGCAGCAGGCCCAACCCCTTGCCAAATGTGCCTGTTTGTGTACTGTGTGTGCTTTGTAAACTGTGCACTGAGCTCTGCTCCTTCTCTTACAGTGCAGACGCACTGTGGGTCCCACCCAAGGCAGCCAATCGTAAACCCAAAGCATTCTTTTCCATCACTTGCTCTCCTACTGTGAACATATGTGGTATTCCCAACCTGGGCAGAAACCCAGAGCAGTGACTCCCTCCAGCACCCTGAAACAGAACCACCATCCACATCAGTTCCACGTCACTTACAGCAAACTCCTCGGGAGTCACTTTCAGAACGTCAAAGACGACAGCATCATAGCTCTTGCTGGCATAGTCGCAGCTCTGGCCCTCCAAAGAGTCTGAGCTGCTGCTGCCCTGTGGAGAAGGCAAAGAGAAATACCACCTAACTGGTCTGGCCTGAGGTTGCTGCCACCCAAAACCTCCCCAGAATGGAGACAGAGTGACAGGCTCACGGAATGAAAGGTGCCTAATGCTATCACGTTGTTCCACGCTAATCTCTAGAGCACTTCCCACACCATCTCAGTCCTCACGGTTCTCTACATGTACATGGCAGTGTTCCCATTTTACAGGTCAACAAGCAGAGTTGATAGTGTTTCTCCACGGTTCCTTTCCCATAAAGCTGAAAGCCGGAATGTGAAGCTTGCTATCTGAACCCCCAAAATGACCTTGGACCACTATCCCTAACAGCTTCTGGCCAGCATTGTAACGACAGGGGAGAGTCCAACACCAGAGCTGCAGTGTAGCTCAGTACAGAACACTCACCAAGCATGCTCAAGGCCTAGTTCTGTCCCCAGCACCCAAAAGAGAGAGAAGAACCCTAGCCTAATTCTCCCTCACAATGGCCTCCAGACTCAGGGACCTGAGGAGATCATCCCTTTTGTTGACTTTGTTTTTTCATTTTTAAAGATTTGTTTCATTTAAGCATATGCATGTGTGCCATGTGTACACAAGGTACCCAAAGAAGCCACAAAGGACAATGGATCTCCTGGAGCTGGAGTTACAGGTTGTGGTACTGGGAATCAAACTCTGCAACAGCAGCCAGTACTCTTAACTTCGTAGCTCTCTCTCAGGTCACCTTTTCTCTGTCTGGCTGCTTAGTGCAGGTCACTGTAACACAAATGATGAAGCTGGCTCTGGAGGTATAACACACATACAGAGCTGGCTTGTGAGCTGAGAGCTAACTGCTGAGCTTCAGAGACTGTTGGGGAGAATTCCTCATGTAAGGGTCACTGAGTCCTGCTTGTATGGACAGGGGCCTCCCACAGGGAAACAAGCAGAAACCCAAATTGGATGGAGTTCATAAAGCCCACCCCTCTGAAGGTACCAAAATGTTGGACACACCTTTTCTTTAATATGACTGCATTTCATCATACTCTACTTGGACACTCCATCAGGCTCACCACCTGTGCCTGTCCATAAGTGGTTTTATCCATCTCTACTCATGGAGGACTCTGTGGTTTCTGTCCATTCCTCCATCTTAGAGTAGGGGGTGAAGGAATCTACTTTTGCTAATTTCTTTTTATTTCACTTTCTATCTGGGGAAATGTTGCCGTCTTACTGGAAACTAGGGTGTTTTTATAGGTCACGGAAGAAAGCTAATAATTATGACAGTGTGAGGTCAGGGAGTGGAGCAGAAATGCAAGTGGCCCACCTCATGCCTGGGCCTGAGGTGTCTATAGGTGAGGCTCCCACACTGAAACTCCACGTGGTCTCAGAAGGTAAGAGGCCATGCTGGGTCTGCAGGCACACAGGCCCACATAGAATGCCAGCCTCACATCAGCTATCACCTGGTCTCAGGCACTGACATCATTTTGCTGTGTCTCATCAGGTACAAAACCGTATTATTAAATACCTTATTCCAGAGTAGCAACACCAGTTCCCAAACCATGCAAACCACCCCGCTTTCAGAACCTACCACCACAACTTCCTCCCTCCCCAGGACATGCTGGCTCAGGGGCTGGGATGTGTGACAAGCATCATTTTAAAAGTTCTTTAAGTGGAAGACATTGTCCCCCAAAGATAATTTGATCTGAATACAGCTGAAAAGAAATAGGACTGGCCCCAGTGCGCCTGGAATTGACAAAGAACTAAATCTACACTCTCCATGTACTTCAAGACACAGCCTCACCAGGTTGACAGGGCAGTATGTTGAAGACACCAAATCAAAAGTCTGGGAGACTAGATTTGAGTCAGCCACCTGCCCAGAAGTGGGAACCAGTTTCTTCTCCTCTTTGTGCTTTGGGTTCCTCAACTACAAGTTGACAAAGGGATGCATATCAAAAATAGAGAGAGCTGGGTGTGTATGGATGTGTGTCATTCAGTACTTGCTAAGTACTTCAAGTTTCATGTATGCACTCATTCCAAACACACTTTGGTACTTACAGCCACATACATGGAGACCCTGAGCAATATCAAAATCTGCACTGCATAAAATCACCTAGCATAGAATTATATGTGTTGCCCCACATATTCTGAGTCCTCTCTGGATGGCTAATGCCTATTACAAAATAAATGCTGTGCAAAGAGTCACTGGCGCTGTTCAGAGAAAAATGAACCAACAGTCTGCACATACTTGGTGCAGAGTAAGTTTTTGTTAAACATTTTTGATGCATGGTTGGTGGGTCCCCTGCACAGAGGGCCGAACATGCACAGGGTAGCCGTGAGTATACACATCTATGTATGCGTGCATACATAAATACACAGGCCAGAGAAGAAGACTATTTTACTTGAGAAGGAGTGTAAGTTACAGATACAAACAGAAGTCTGGTTCCTCTAGTTACAACAGCTTGGATGTAAGGCCTTAGTGCTTTGCTGCAACACTCCAAGCCCTTAGGTAAGGGTACTTATTGAATCAAAAGTTGTCCCAAACTATTTGCTGGCAATGGTGACAGTAGCAACAAGGATGACTCCAAATTAACTACTCTGGTCTCCTAGGAAATTTTAAAAGGCATCGATGAGACTGGAGAGATGGTTCAATGGTTAAGTGTATAGACTGCTCTTCCAGAGAGCAGGGCCTGAGTTCAGTTCCCAACACCCACACCAGGAGACTCACCATCGCCAGTAACTCCAGCTCCAGGGGGATCTGATGCCCTCTTTTGGCCTCCATGACCACTGTACTCATATGAACATAAACATAATTTAAAAAGAAAAATTTTTAAAATGTTTTTAAAGGCATCTATAAATGTGATTTCAAGACTAAAAATAAAATCAAAATTTTTTAAAAGACTGATAAGAAACTAATTCCTATGACCTTTGGTTAGTTAATCTGAGGTCAAATTTCAAAACTCCTTGTGGGATGCTCAGCCCCAACCCTGTTTTACCAGCATCTCTGAGGAGCCAGCACTACACCCAGACACAGAGGTACTAGCCTCAGATGACATTCCTCCTTCTGTGTGTCTGTACCATTACTGAGCTGGGCAAGCAAATCACAGACCTCATGCAGAGTCCCTGCCCAGGCCATTCAGACCACCAGTCCTTACAGCCGGTTCCTAAGAAGCAAGGTAAATAAGTTCCGTGGCCAGTTGGACTGGTGTCTGTCTGACCTCATTTTGGAACACATGGCTTATTTATAATCAACAACAGTTTTTCCTGGGAAAAGTCTGATCCCTTCTTGCCACCAAAATGGAATGTGACACTTGCCACGGCTGGACTGGAGAGAACAACTTCAGAAAACATCACCATCCACACGGCTGATAGGCTCCCAAACCTCCTGCCTGAAGTGGCAGGCCCTCAGAAGACCTGTATTCATGGCCAGGGCCCCATGTATGGCCCTCTCTCCTGGTACCCTCCCACAGCATACATACCTGTGGAGTGGCGGAGGTGACTAACACGCTAGCCATCAGACCATTCCTCTTGTACATAGTCTCCAGGCCTCAGGGAGCTTCGGTGCCACCTCTGCTGGTGACATAACCTGCCTGCAAGGCAAAAGAACCCATAAAAACCTACTCTGAACCCACAGAACCACACCAGCCTCCAAAAGATCACCCAGAGACCTGAAAAGAAAGGTGTGAGCTGATATCCTTCAAACTCAGGCTGGCCCACAGAACCTGGGTACCTGTTTCCCTCCTCCGTGGAACATGGTGAGCCTGTGCCATTACTGAGCTCATACACCTAGATAATGCTAGATTAATTGCCAATGTCCAACAGCTGTATGAATTCTGCTCCCTGACTCTTGTGGCAGTAATGAACCCACATTCCTGTCCAGTCATCACACCCCTTGCAGCAGATCACTGGGTCCCACCTACACATCCATCCCAGGATGTACCTGGCCCTCACGGGCCCTAGAAGATGTATTACAAAGATGAAGGCTGATGAAGAAACTGGACACCATGCTGTGCCATCACAACTGATACCACAAAGTATTCACTAAGAGCCATGTGCTGGACTCCTCTACCTTATCATCCCCTTCCACTATCCCACGAGAGGCCTTTAAGTCTTGCCCATTTTCTATGAAGGGAAACTGAGGCACATAGAGGTGCATTTGCTTACTTTATCCAGTAGCAGTGTCACTTAAGACGCCCTTGAATGTCAGGTCTGGCTATTCTGCCTGGACTGCTCATGTGCACAGGCTCCAGAGAGCATCTGTCACCTTCCAGAACACCAAAAGCCACCCGCAGCTTCTCAGCAGAGAGTGGAGAGATGGAAGCTAACTGCAGTTGCCAGGGAACAGGGGCCTTTGAGCCGAGGTGGCAAAGGGAGACGGGCAGGGAGACAGCAACAACAGAACATAGAAACTCCTGCGTGGCCAGTGAGAGCAGCTAGACCAAGCTGTTTACAGCAAGGCACTGAAAGATGGCACAGCTGTCATCAGGGAAGAGACAGAGAGGTGGAAGAGGTCTGGGGGGACTTGACTCAGGACATGGTGAATCTGTGGCAGATGAGAAAAAGCTATACTGAAGGGCTGGAAAGATGCTCAGAGGTTCAGAGCTCTGTCAGAGGGACTAGCACCCATCAGGTGGTTCACAACTGCCGTAATTCTAGTTCCAAGGATCCGATATCATGAGCCTCTGTGGGTGCACGCACGCACGCGCACGCACGCGCACACACACACACACACACACACACAGAGCTAATAAGGGGAAGGCCCCTAGGGAAACACAAGCCAGATCCAATACCATGGGCCTCCATGGGTATATACATACACACACACACACACACACACACACACACACACACACACACAGAGTTAATAAGAGGAAAGCCCCTAAGGTAACACAAACCAAAACCACAAAGACACTACTTCATACCCAATAAGATAGCCAGAATCAGAAAAAAAAAAAACCAGTCTATATCAAGTGACTGGGAGCTGGGGTGAAGCCTTCGTGCATTGTTGGTGATACAACTGCCTCAGAACATAACTTGGCAGCTCTTGACTAGTTAGGACAACCCAGTGATCAGATCCCAGCATCTGCTGCAAAGGATGAGCACATCCCACAGACACACAGAGGATGCCTGTCACAGCACCACTCCTAAAGGCAAGAGCTGGAGCCAGGTCAGAGTCCATCATCCAGTGAACATCAAGGCAGTGTAACCTAGCCACACAGCATGCTACTACTCAGCTAAGAAAAGAAACGAGATGCTAGCACATGCACAGCATGATCAAACCTCAAAATGTCATGCCAGTGGAAGAAGTCAGATGCAGAAGAATGTACAGTGTGATTCCATTTTAGGAAATTCCCAGAAATGGCAAATTTATAGGAATAAACTGCCCATGGCAGGAGAAGCCTGCGCACAGATACAGAGTACTTTTGAGGAGAAGAGAGTGTTCTAAATCTGGGCGATGACAAGTATAGTCCAGAAATGAGGGACCTGAGGCTGTAAAGCTGCCACACAATACATGAGAGGAAGTGCCCTCAGCTTCACAACAGGACCTCACCTGGCCTGCCTGCCATTCCCTTTGCAGTAATGGAGCAAACAGTATGATAAGCTGAGAAAGGAAATGTAGATGGGACCCAGAGCCAAGGAAAACCCTCCATCAGAACCCCTGTGAAGGGCACAGGAGCTCCAGAAGAGGGTCCTAAAAGAGATAAAAGAAAGATAAACCCAGCTCAAGAGCTCGGCCATAGTAATTTGGGGTCAGGCCTCTTAGACTGCCCCAAATCAGCCAGCCAGTCCACTCCAAGTTAAAGACTGAGACAGGCTTTGCTCCTATCTGTATGTGCCTGGCACTCTGTGGGTCTTCCCAGGGGAGCCAGGCCTGGACACCAATTTTCTGAGTACAGCCCAAACCAGAGGCTCTCTAAAGTTGTTCTGGTGACTCCCTACTTCTTCCAAAGGATGCTGCCATGGCCGGGGAGATGGCTCAGTGGGTAAAGGCATGTGCTAACAAGTCTAAGGACCTGGGACCCACACTGTAAAAGGAAAAAAGTGATTCCCTTCAAGTTGTCCTCTGACCGCCACATGCATGACATATAAATGTTAGAGGGACATGCTGCCAGCACCACCCTCTTCTCCAGCCCCATTTGGCAGGACACACCAGTGGGGCAGCATCCAACCTGGGGAGGCACTGGTTAAACATTACATGTTTCGCTCATGCGCTTACCACAAGAGCCCCAGGAGATACAGACCACTTACATTGGAAGGTAGGAACCACTCAGGATGCTGGGAAACTGAGGCCCTATGAATTCAAATCCTGAACAGGCCTGGACATATACATCCCTGATACTGCCTCCCACAAGAGCATAAGAAAATCATGCAAGGCCAGGTGGTGGTGGTGCACACCTTTAATCCCAGCACTTGGGAGACAGAGACAGACAGATCTCCATGAGTTTGAGGTCAACCTGGTCTACAAGAGCTAGTTCCAGTTGAGCTAGGACTGTTACACAGAGAAGACCTGTCTGGAAAAAAACGAAGGAGGAGGAGGAGGAGGAGGAGGAGAGGAGGAGGCTTCCACTACTGGGAAGGAGGTTGCCGGGAGTGGGCTCCAGGAAAACAAGCTTAGTGGTCAAATTGCAGAGCTATCCCATCTAGTAGGCTGGACCTATCCTTCCCTTTGACTGACCTCAGTCTACCTGATGAGGACATCCTGCCACTTGCTATGTAGCCCATCGTGTTTTCCATGGAAGGTAGAGCTGGAAAGAAAGCCCAAGCACTTATTTCTAATCTGTCTCCTGTATGTCTCCATGACAGAGACAGCCTCGCTGATGGACAAGAGGTGTGCCTATGTGAAAATGGTAGGACCAAACGGGACGAAGTATCCCATCAGGCTATGAGCAAGCCCGCTCATTCAGGGTGGGTCCTGAGGCTGCTGAGTACAGCTCCTGTATCAAAAGGAAACAGTGGACAGATGGGCTAGGGTACAACAGAAGGTTATTGTAGGCTACAGGGAGGAGTGCAGGAAGCAGTACATGCAGGTGTATGTGTGCGTATACAGGTTTCCCTGAAGACACTGAGAATCCTTATAATTCAAGGATTTTAGACACATCATGTAATTCAAAGATTTCAGTAGCACATTCCATTTCTATTTTATTTCTATTTAGTATGTGTGTGTGCATGTGTGCATGTGCATGTTTGTATGTTTGCGTGCCCTGTGTATGCTCCCTTAGAGCTCCGAATGCCCTAGTGCTAGAGTTACTGGCTGCCATAAGCCAACAAAGATGGCAGCTGGGAGCTGAACTCAGGTCCTCCTGAAGAGCAGCAGCCTCGGCACATACAGACTCTGAAGGAGCAGGGCAGGACTAGCTTTCCTACAGCATGAAGAATGGTGTAAGGAGTGCACTAACAGGGTCAACAAGAGCCACGGTGTTGATATGAAGTCAGCACATGAGAGCACAACAGGAAATATGGGGTGCCAGGTGTCTGCAGCACAGCTACAGAGAGCCCTTCTCGCTTCCTCAGATCTGTGTCCTTTGATTCTCACAGGTACTGGGGAAACCCAGAGAGCAAGACAGGAAGGAGCCTGTGTGGCCACGGCAGGAGTGTCTGCCTCTGATTTTCCCTCACCTGGTCAGAGGTGAAGTGTTCACCAACCTTTGTTCTGTGCAGAGGATTCCAGGCAGCCCTAGACTACAAGGAGCTCAGGTACAGCCTGGCCCTCAGAGCCTCTCACAATCAGTTAACACAGGCTTTGTCCCTGACTCTGCAGACAGGATTCAAGTGCATTCTGTAAAATCCATTAGTAGTGATTTGAATGAAAATGGTTCCCATAGGTTCCTAGGGAGTGACACTATTAGGAGGTGTGGTTTTGTTGGAGTAGGTGTGGCCTTGTTGGAAGAATTGTGACACCAGGGGTGGACTTTGAGGTTTTAGATGCTCAAGCCAGGCCCGGTGCCACTCTCTGTTCCTGCTGCCTTCAGATCTAGATGTTGAGGTCTCAGCTACATCTCCAGCACCATGTCTGCCTCTGTGCCACAACGCTTCCTGCCATGGTGACAATGGACTAAGCCTCTGAACTGTAAGCCAGCCCCAATTAAATGTTTTCCTTTATAAGAGTTGCTGTGGTCATGGTGTCTCTTCACAGCAATAGAATCACCAAGACACCATTTTACAGATATGAAAACAGTGATTCAGGGAGATGGATTAAACTATACCATATAGATACGTCTTTTCATGGCTGCACTCTCTATCCCACTGGGAAGGTGGCACCAGCTTTTTAGCCTTACATAAATCTCATTCTTCCGACCCTCCCTCTTCCTCTCAACTCTCCCCCACCCCTCTCTCCTAGTGCACATATAAACATGCTCTTGCTGCTAACCCTCCCTGGAAACCAAAACAGTGCAAGAGCAAAAGCAGTTCTCATGATGTAATTCCTTAAGAGCGCACGGCAGCTGTTATCAGAACCACAGAACAGCCCCATGTCTTTCTCCGCTCATGACAAGAGTCTGGCCTTGTGTGTGTGGGATCCTGGAGCGGGAAAGGAAAAGCCCAGATGTAGCCTGGGCTCCTTCCAGGCATTCAGAACACTCCTCAACATTTG